GAGAGAGAGAGAGAGAGAGAGAGAGAGAGACAGGCGACAGGGTGGGTGTCTTCGCGAAGGGAGGGCGAGAGAACGTGTCCAATGAACTGAGAGGACGATTCCACAGATACACGTAAGTGTACACACACACGCGCGCGCGCGCGCGCACAGACACACACCCCTGACGCCTGGTTGGTGGCAAAACTTCAAAACACTTAGGGTGGAAAAAAGTAGGTGAGAAATGGATTTGGAAAAGCTGCAGACGACCCCCGTGAGCGAATTGGCGGCAGAGGTGACGGTGGAGGGCAGTTGTTATAATCCGAACGAGGAGATAAAAAAAATGGGAGGTCTGCAGGTATTGGTTCCCAAGGACAAGAGTTTGACACGTCAGCACCTGGATAAGCATCTGGAGAAGCAGATGGTTTTGGGAGTAAATGTCGTTTACTCGACCTTTTACACTTTCGAGTCGTTGTGCATTTATTCTCGACGGGACACGGTAGCCTTGCCCGGGTTTTCCTCCTACTTCACTCGGCGCGCAGTGGAACATTGGCGCTGGGCGGCGAGCTTGTGCTGGTTCCTTGGCCGTCGAGGCGGGAACGTGGTGTTGCGGGAGATCCCCCCACCTCCCGCCGTTTTCCATAATCCGGAAAAGGGGGATGCATTGTACATGATGGAGTACGCGCTGGCGCTGGAGAAAGTGGAGTATGAGAAGATGCTGGAGCTGTTTCGTGCCGCAGAGAAATCCAGCGACGGCGGCGTGATGAACTTTTTGCAGACCGAGCTGCTTGTGCCGTCTGTTACGGCAATCAAGCGCTGTGCAGATTACGTCAGCCAGCTCAGACTGATTGGGAAGACAGCTGGGCTCTTCACGTTCGATCGCATGCTGCTGAGGGAGATGGAGGAGGAGGGGGTCGGGATCGGGGAGGTGATCGAGCAGCAAGTGACAAGGCAAACGCGGTCCGAGGCGACTGGGGGGCTCTCACGCAAGAGGAGGAGGCAGGGGAATGCCGAGAGCGCGGGCTGAGGAGGGAGGGGGAGGGGTCGTCACTCACACAGGGAACGAAATGAACTGGACGTCGTCCCGATCCCGACGAGCGGCTGCTGGCAGGCCTTCTGCAAGACTTAGTTCTCACTCGCATATAGAACGCGCGCCGTAGTTATCGACGTTACGCTAGAGCCAGTTTTTCTAAATGATGTATCTGGACGTCGAGATTGTCTCAATTCACTAATGACGTTCGATCCAAACGAAGTGTATCTGGACCAATATCCGTCCAGATGCATGAAGAGTGTTGAGTAGTGGAGCGAGGCTCGTAGACTGAAGGTTGGATGGAATACTTAGCCCGAATGACCGTACGGGATATTCGGGTTGGGAGAAGGTAGGAGTAATCCGCAGCCCCGGTCAGATAGATGATGGAGGAGGAGGAGGTGACTCTCGTCTTCCCGCGAATATAACGCACACTGATAATGAATGTATACAGGCGATCTTTCGGGTTCGGTACAGCCATAATCAGGGTGCGTCGTGTTCCCGAGAAGGTGGTAGTCGGTGAGATATTAAGTCGGCAGGCAGCGACGTGATCGGGGCAGCAGTTGAAGTTAATCAGAGATGGGCGCTGCCGGGAGGCAATCGGGCAAAGGCGGAGGAAGAGGTAGAGGAGGGGGAGGAAGGAGGGGGTACTAGGAGGAGGAAAGGACGAAGGGGTGAGGAGGGAGGGTGCGAAGAGCGCAGAGAGATATCCAGATCCTCGACAGCTTGTGGCTATATGGATAACAACAGGTCGGCCAAGTAGCTTGTCGAATAAATTTTACATCTCGAATATAATTTTTACATCTCGAATATAAAGTTTACATCTCGAATATACATTTTACATCGAGGTGTGTTAGCTTAGTGGGGTAGCTTAGGGGCCCCGTTTAACCCCACGGAATCGTGTTTAGGGGGGTCACCGTGGGTATCTGAGGGGCCCCAGAACCCCCCGGAATCATGTTTAGAATTTCGTCGGAAGGGATGGAGGTCAACCTAACAGTCAAACTACAGAGAGCTTCGTCGAGGTCAAAAGAGTTCCAAGAGGGAAGAGAGGAGAAAAAGTCAAAGTCAAACGAGACGGAGCGGAAGAGCCAAGGCAGCGGGGTCAACGGTAAAGTCAACGACTAGATTACGAGTAGAAAGGACACGGTCAAGGTGAACTGAGCGTGAGAGTCAGAGGTAGAAGGGCGTGGGAAGTCTAAAGTCGCCCGACGCCATGGTTAAAAGGTTGAAGTCAAACGAATCCAGATTGACAGCCCAAGTCAACGAAGCCATGGTGCACAGTTGAAGTGAGCGATGCCACGTCAGTGTATTATTGAAAGTCGACGAAGCCATGGCGCGCAGTTGCAGTTAGCGATGCCACGGTGGATTATCGAAAGTCGTCGATGGAAGGTCAAAGTCAATGCAGTCAGATTGAAAGTCAAAGTCAATGAAGCCATGATGGATTATCGAAAGTCGACGAACTTCAGCAAAGATATGGTAGAATGTTGAAGGCAACGACAACCAGTTGGAAAGTCAAAAGTCAACGAAGCCATGGTGGAAAGTCAGAGTCAACAGCCATGATGGATTCTCGAAAGTCAACGAACTTCAGCAAAGATATGGTAGAATGTTGAAGGCAACGAGGACCAGTTGGAAAGTCAAAAGTCAACGAAGCCATGGTGGAAAGTCAGAGTCAACGAAGCCATGGTGGAAAGTCAGAGTCAATGAAACCATGGTGGAAAAGTCGACGAAACCATGGTGGAAAAGTCAACGAAGCCATGGTGGAAAGTCAAGAGTCAACGAAACCATGATGGAAAGTCAAAGTCAACGAGGCCAGGGGAAGCAGGCGGAAGAGAGGGGGATATGGTTGCTCTGCTTCGGGCATTTGAAGGACGGTGATCGATGGACTTACTGGAGTTGTCGGGGATGTCTCTGACCGCTGGTATGGCCAAATTCAGAGGTAACAGACTGGATTTGACGGCTTTTATGGCCCGATTCATTGGAAATAATAGTCGTCAGCGGACGGATGGAAGAGAGAACGACTCGCAGAGTTTTGTGTGTGGTTGGAGTGTTCCACAGAGTGAAAGCCTGAAAGCGAAAATGTTGGAAAGGTCACCGCGATAGTCAGACAGGAATTGACGAGGATGTTTCTGGCCGTTTCTCCCGGCTACATTCGGCCGCTGGAAGACTCCTCCTCCTCAGCGTGAGTATGCCCTAAGGGTGCTGTTGTAGTATTGAACATCGAGAAGTTGAAAGGTTAACGATGAATTTGGAGGAGAATTGTGTGCCAAGTTTTACGAAGAATGAATCCGTCCGTGTTTCGCCGTAAAAAACACACGGAAGATGAGCAGCCAGCTTGCGTTCGAAAGTGTAGAACCATCGTTAATCGCAAAACGAGAATAGGGGGAAAAAAAAGAAAAAAAAAGCTGTGTGTGTGTGTGTGTGTGTGTGTGTGTGTGTGCGCGTGTGACTAGCAACAGGGATTGGATTAAGATCCTGAATCTGGGCGTGTGTTTTAGGCCGAGATGCAGGATAGGACTTCACCGACAAGATCCCTGCGGATGGCTGGGGGTGTGGCGACCAGCCGATACCGGTCGGATCGAGCCACGGTTTCACGTACTCATTTGTTCGTCGTGTTTCATCTTCAACGAGTTACGTTGTCTTTTTTTTTTTTTTTTTTTTTTTTTTTTTTTTTTTTTTTTTTTTTTTTTTTTTTTTTTTTTTTCGTTCTTTTCCTTTTTTTTCTTCGGTTTCTTTTTCTTTTTTCTTTTTCTTTTTCTTTTTTTTTTTCTTTTTCTTCTTCTTCTTCTTCTTCTGTCCAATGTCGAT